ACAACATGGACAATCCGAATTTTCTTCATTGTTGTTTGATTGGACATTCATTTATAACTCGTTTACAACGCTGCATGGATTCTCGAATGGACTTAAGGGATTTAAATTTAGATGCTGAACGTTTTCACTTTGAAGTTCGTGCCCGAGGAGGTCTAAAGATAGCCCACTTAGCCCGGTCAGCAGAGATGCTACGGGTTTGTGTCTGTATCACATGTCTGCTTTATTCAGTTGGGAAAAAATGACATTGCACGAGGGAAGGTCGAGCAGATAACACGAGGCATTATCTCCCTAGCGTATTCTTTTAATCAAAGTACTCTTGTTTTACCAAATAAGCAATGCTGATCACAAGACAGTTCAGAAGTTGTCTGCTGCCTTTGTGCTTTATTTTTAACAAAAATTTACCATGTAGATATTCATTTTAATTGTTTTAAAAATTTCTTGTTATCAATATCTGATTACAAGGGGTTTGCCTTGCTGGTGGTCACACTGTGTAGACTGAAAAGTACTAAGTCATTGAGAAACATGATTTTTGTCTCATATTTATGATGTATATAATGCATATATTAATTTCTGTATTGTGAAAAGTTTTGAATACTAGTTAATAATGCCAATTATAGGTACTTCTGGATTGTTCCCAAACACTTTGGTTTCTTTTCATTTTTGATAGTTTCATATTTTATCTCGTAAGGAAATAGATAATTATTTCTCTCTCCGAGTCGCCTTTGGGTGGGCGGATCCAATATCCTATTGGATATCTGGCCTTTATTTTTTAGATAACCCACCTTTTTGGTGGACAGGCAGGTTGTGTTTTGTAGGTAATTGAGAAGTTGATTCTCATGTAGTTGTATGTTATGTTTGTTGGGGGTCAGATTGCATTATACTTATTGAAGATACTCTTTGTCAATATTTTCTAGTCTTTTCTGACCCCATTATTTGTACAAGTTTTATATTCGTCATTTTTGATTAAATGACTTTTTTTTCAATTCAACACTGTGTTACTGGTTCTGCCTTTCTGGTCAAATACAAGCTTAGTCCACTCGGCAAAGTATTTAGGAAATCAATGGAACATAAAAAAATAGAATATATATGACACAATACCACCAGAATTGAAGAAATTAGGAAAAATATCTAACTTTGTAACCCTTTGTAAAATTGTATGTTTTATAGTTTACATGTACTCTGTAAAAAGTGAATAGTACGTTGAATAAAGGTAGAAATATTCATAATTGTACATTTATCGGTTGTAATTTTAGGGGTCAGCCCAAGATCTATTTGATTAGCCCTTCTAATTACATAAAAGAACAATATCCATATGATTTCAGACCCCTTTTTGACTTCTTGACTGGATTTATCTTAAAAATGCATTACTTCTCAATAAAAAAAGAAATAGCTGTTATCTCATCATTCTTTTTGTCAAGGGTGTTAACTTTTTTAATTAACAGTTCTTGGATAAGAGAAACTCCGGGCAACCGTTTGCAATTTTACTTTATTTATTGTCCATTGACATGATGGTATTTGATAAAGTAATTTATGTTATATCATCAATGATATGGTGATCTACAGTAAATATGAAAACTTACGTACCGTCCATTCACACATTAAATATTTAAATGAAATTTACTAGTATATCAAATATTTAATTCATAAATCAATTTACTGAAAATATAAAATAGTTTTATTAAAATATCTTACCATGTAGACAGAATTTAAGCTCCTAATTATAAAGCTAAGTTACGGACAATGACAGTCATCCTAACGTCCGTACGCGTCTATATCAGAGGGTTTTCATCAAGTGATTTAAAATAATATTACTGCTGCAAAGGTTAATAAAATTCGCACCAGCCATGTGCAATGACTGGAGAAACAAGTCAAACACACCCATACACATCCCAAACTCACCGTATGACATCAGAGGTAATGAACTTACAAACCATGAATGAATGAATGAATGAATGAATGAATGAATGAGATGACGGATGCGCAAATTATCATACATAGTAACATATGGTAAATACTAATCCTTTGACATTATAAAATGGGTATTGAATCTAAGTGATGACATACACAATATCACAGAAAGGTGAATTTGATGAAACTACGAATATCCTTCATTTTGTTCAATTTTTCATGAATTGTAAAACACTTTTAAACAAAAACAGAGCAAAAGCCTGCCTATCTACAAAATTTATATATTTCATTGATCAGTATGAGATACATCTTGTGTATCCAAAATCTCGGATACGCAAGTTTGAGCTTTATGTTTTCAAAGGAAAAAAAAAAAAAAAAAAAGATGGCACCATTCCATAAAAATTAAATAAATTTTGTAAAATATTTAAATTTGTCTTCCCCTTGTGACCCCCGTGTTTTTCAATAATAAAAAAAAAACATAGAATAAACGCCTGTCCATCTACAAAATTTATATTTTTCATGGATTAGTCTGAAGTATACATGGTGTATCCAAAATCTCTGATAGGCAAACTTACGCTTTACGTTTTCAAAGGAAAAATAAGATATAAATGACTCCATTCCATCGAAATTTAGGAAATTTGTTAAAAAAAAAAGAATTAAATTTCTCACCTTTTTGTGGCCCCCGTGAACGTTTTGAAACAAAATGAATGCTGCTTATAAAACAAGCATCATTTATGATCTTGATTACAAACTATCACCAGTGAAATGTTTTTCTCTTTTTTAATATCAAAAAAAGGTGCCTAAATTTGACCTTTACCATACCTTGTCCTTCGGCACAGTTATGTCATAACGTATTATTTAATACAAATGATAATTGTTTGACCAAGTAATTCCATATATTCTTTTTAGGCGAGTATGGAACTCACTTTTATAAACTTACAAGGAGTGATCAAAAAGATTGCAAACTATCTCTATATTTACAAAACCACAATTCAGATCAGAATGACATTTGACACTCATATAGTCATACACATATTCTATAAATACCAGGTGTTATATAATGTTTTGCTCCGTGTCTGTGACATCACAATGTGAAAATGACGTCAATATGTAGATGACTTGTGAGAAAAAAATGTTTGACTCAGTCGTACTCGAGCAACGAGCGCCTGTAAAGTTTAACGTATATCTTGGGGATTCCTTTGCAGTAGAATATGATAATTTGTACAAGGTTTATGTAGACAAAAGACTTACCAGAAGTTCAATCATTAATTGGATTGATTGTTCTAGTGAAGTCAGGGAGATGGTTAAAAATGATGTTTGTTCTATTGCCCTGCGAAATCAAGCCGAGTAAAAGATGCGTCCCTGGTTGAGCAATTTGTTATGAAATATCGCAAAGTTACAATTAGAGAAATAGTTGAATATCTTAACATTAATATAATTATTAACTCCCTAAAATATAGTTTATTTTAGACTTTAGATATATGAGATATGATAAAAAGAGTTCGTCCATACTTTATCCACAATGGATAAACGACGTCCCCGAGACAGAGGACTGGGGTTTTGATGATCACCATGCTAATTATGGGAAGGGATGTCCTTATCCTCCCATCCTATTGCCGAGATTTGGCCATTTCTGACAGATGGGCTGTTCTTGTTATAAAAAATAACTTGCATGTTAAGAATTCCTTTAGCTTCTGTGAACAGAACGCTTCGGAGCATGTCACGTGACCGCCTGAATCAAGTGATTCGCGCCTGGCCAGAACAATGGCAGATATACATTATAATCGGAGAGGACTATTTTAAAAGAAAAATGAGCACTGAAACCTCATTTCATTTCTTTTAAGGAAGTAATTCAATTAGTTCGCAAACTTTTTGATCACCCCTCGTATTTCATATTCGATGATTTGAATCAAGTCAGTCAGATTCCAGCTTATAGCTATAGTTAACTATGGTAATTTTTTTTTAGGGTAGACGTCAGCTACGAGTTTTTTGATTAGCTCTTCTAATTACCTACATATAAAAAAAAACATTATGAATATGATTTCCTCGGGGATATTACTCTTGAAAGTTAATTCCGTATAATCTCCATTTAAGGTCTTGTGTAAGAAAATAAAAATGTATCTCTTTCAAAAGTTTAATTCCACGTGATCGTATGGAGATTGTATATATTTCTGGGATTTCATCAGAATAGAACAGCGCCATTGGTACAAGCATCATTAATGTTCTTGATTGCAAACTATCACCAGTCAAATATGTATCTATTTTCTAATATCAAACTAGGGGGCGAACTTCGGCCTTCACCATACATTGTCTTTCGGCACAATTAAGTGGTATCGTGATTTCAATTCAATAATTGGATGATAGATGTTCATATTAGAGGACTTGTTTTCTTTAGACCCATTATAGAAATAGTCGTGTTTTGCGGTTTCGCTGCGTGGTCCTAACATTGCTTGATGTAACATTTACAATTTATTCAAAGATAAACCGTATGTTTTAAAGTTTTTTAGTAGTCCTAAGCTTTTTTACTTTTCTACTTCAGAATTCCCAATTTTATTGCTCTTAGTCAATAATCTTAATAGTAACTTTACATTGTCGATATTTTATTACTAAGTATCGATAATTATGACTTGTCTATCCTGATCAATACCATTGCAAAATTTTAGTTCATTGTACCAACAACAAAATCAAATTTGTTCTTACAAGATAAATACAGTTCATGAAGTTTATGTCCCTTTTTCCATTATGAAGTCACTGCATATGGTACACTATTAATGTCCATCCTTGTTTAATAAACTTTTATTTTACTTACACTTATAAGTTCACTTTTAATATTCAAAATGATTATGATATGAATATATACCAAGTTTAAAATGTTCAAAAAAATCGTCCTTTCTACACCCTACAGGTTTACAATTGTTTCATAAGTGCGTGTCTACTAAATCCAAGCATTTAAGTCAGAAAAACAGGTGGAGCAGTCACGTTAGGAAAATACTTCTATCTTTGAGTTTGAACATGTTCCTGAAAGACTTAATGCAGCACTTCACCTTTCACTCTTTTAATTTGACACCAAAAAAAAATGTTCAAAAACTTACAGTCTCTGTAAATTTGGCATTCCACTAAAGGCATTGTCCGGAATGGTGGTTATCTCATTGTTATATAGCGATCTGAAATAATTTTTGTCATAAATTCATTCAAGATCTCTTCTACGACCATTCAGTTTATTTCCATCTAACTGAGTTTACCGACTTTTTTTTTTAAAAATTGAACTCTTGGTATTAGATAACACATATATAAAATTATAATTGAATCATACTCAAAAAATATTGAACGAGTTTCGCCTAAATGTATTTTTACGACATTGAAAATTTCAACAATTGACTGTGGTCCATAAAATAAAAAGTATAAATCAAGAAAAGAAATTATGACTGAGTTCAAAAAACGTTCTTTGTTTATGTAGTTTTACAACTTTATTCAATGTGTTTGAAGATAGGCTAAAACCCTTTCTGACCCCTTGTTTGGATGAATCATAAGAAAGGTGCAATACTTTTCAATAATAATAAAAAAAAATATCTGTTTTCATCCTTCTTATAAAATGGGTATTGATTCTAAGTGATATCATACACAATGTCACAGGAAGGTCAAGTTGATGAAAATACGAATATTCTTAATTACAGCTGTAGTTTTTCATCAGTTGTAAAACATTTTTAATTAAAAAAAATACAGCAAGCATATGTTTTCAAAGGAAAATACAGTCAGAATTGAAGACATTTGGTAAAATATCTAAATTTGCTAACCTTTGTATAACTGTATGTTTCAGTTTACATATACTCTGTAAAAACTGAATAGTACGTTGAATAAAGATAGAACTATTCATAGATGTACATTAGTCGGTTGTAATTTTAGGCGTCGGCCCAAGATCTATTTGATAAGCCCTTCTTATTACATACAAGAACAATATCCGTATGATTTCAGGCCCCCTTTTGACTTCTTGATTGGATTTACTTAAAAGGTGCAAAACTTCGCAATAAAAAAAAGAAATATCTGTTATCTCATCATTCTTATAAAATGGGTATTGAATCTAAGTGATGACATACACAATCACTGCTTGAAAAAAAAAACACCTTTACAAAACGTTACTTGCAAAGTAAATTTCATTAAAGGCGCTTCCAAAAAAGCAAGGTTACCTTTGTATTATCTTTAGACAAATATAGTTCATGGAGTTTATGTCCCTTTTTCCATTATGAAGTCACTGCATATGGTACACAATTGATGTCCATCCTTGTTTAATAAACTTTTATTTTACTTACACTTATACGTTCACTTTTAATATTCAAAATGATTATGATATGAATATATACCAGGTTTAAAGTGTTCAAAGAAATCGTCCGTTCTACACCCTACAGGTTTACAATTATTTCATATGTGCGTGTCTACTAAATCCAAGCATTTAAGTCAGAAAAACAGGTAGAGCAGTCACGTAAGGAAAATACTTCTATCTTTGAGTTTGAACATGTTCCTGAAAGACTTAATGCAGCACTTCACCTATCACTCTTTTATTTTGATACAAGAAAAAAAAAATGTTCAAAAACTTACAGTGTCTGTAAATTTGGCATTCCTCTAAAGGCATTGTCCGGAATGGTGGTTATCTTGTTCCAATATAGCGATCTGAAATATATTTTGTCATAAATTCATTCAAGATCTATTCCACGACCATTCAGTTTATTTCCATCTAACTGAGTTTACCGACATTTTTTAAAAATTGAACTCTTGGTATTAGATAACACATATATAAAATTATAATTGAATCATACTCAAAAAATATTGAACGAGTTTCGCCGAAATGTATTTTTACGACATTGAAAATTTCAACAATTGACTGTGGTCCATGAAATAAATCGTATAAATCAAGAAAAGAAATTATGACTGAGTTCAAAAAACGTTCTTTGTTAGTTTATATGTAATTTTACAGCTTTATTCAATGTGTTTGAAGATAGGCTAAAACCCTTTCTGACCAGCTTTATTCAATGTGTTTGAAGATAGGCTAAAACCCTTTCTGACCCCTTGTTTGGATGAATCATAAGAAAGGTGCAATACTTTTCAATAATAAACAAGAGGCCCAGGGGCCACATCGCTCACCTGAGCACTGTGGCCAGGAAAAAAGGAAAAATCAGTTTAGTATTGAAAAGCTTAAATGCATAAATGGTCCCAACCTACCCCTAAAAGGGATTGGGGGGGGGGTATGACTTGAACAAAATTAAATCTACACTGCTTACATAATTTTTTGACTAACTGTGACTTTTTTTCTCTACAAGTTTGAACTTTCATTGTGACCCCACCCTACCCCTGGAGGTCATGATTTGAACAAATTTGAATCTACACTATCTGAGGATGCTTCCATATAAATATTACAAACCGTGGCTTTGCTGTTCTTGAGATTTTTTAAGGTTTTTCTTATATATTCCTATATAAAACTTTGAACGTTCATTGTGGCCCCACCCTACCCCCGGGGGTAATGATTTGAACAAACTTGAATCTACACTACCTGAGGATGCTTTCAAAAAATATATCCAATCAAAGCTTTGCTGTTCTTCAGAAGAAGATTTTTGAAGATTTTTCCTATGTACACCTCTGTTAAACTTTGATTGTCCATTGTGGCCCCACCCTTACCCTGGGGGTCATGATTTGAACAAACTTGAATCTACACCACCTGAGGATGCTTCCAATATAAATATGACCACTCATAGCTTTGCTGTTCTTGGGAAGAAGATTTTTCCTATATATTCCTATGTAAAACTTTGATCGTCCATTGTGGCCCCACCCTACCCCAGGGGTCATAATTTGAACAAATTTAAATCTACACCACCTGCAGATGCTTCCATATAAATTTGACCAATCATGGCTGTGCTGTTCTTGATAAGAAGATTTTTCCTATATTCTTCTATGTATGTTAAACTTTAATTGTCGTCCATTGTGGCCCCACCCTACCCCCGATGGTCATGATTTGAACAAACTTGAACCCACACCACCTGAGGATGTTTCCAAATAAATATTACCAATCATTGCTTTGCTAATCTTGAGAAGAAGATTTTTTAAGATTTTTCCTATATATTCCTATGTCAAACTTTGATCGTCCATTGTGGCCGCACCCTACCCCCGGGGTCATGATTTGAACAAACTTGAATCTACACCACATGAGGATGCTTCCATATAAATATGACCACTCATAGCTTTGCTGTACTTGAGAAGAAGATTTTTTAAGATTTTTCCTATATATTCCTATGTCAAACTTTGATCGTCCATTGTGGCCCCACCCTACCCCCAGGGGTCATGATTTGAACAAACTTGAATCTACACCACATGAGGATGCTTCCATATAAATATGACCACTCATAGCTTTGCTGTTCTTGAGAAGAAGATTTTTGAAGATTTTTCCTATATATTCCTACGTAAAACTTTGATCGTCCATTGTGGCCCCACCCTACCCCCCGGGGTCATGATTTGAACAAACGTGAATCTACACTACCTGACAATAATTCCATATGAGTTTCATCTTTCCTGGCCCATTGGTTCTTGAGAAGAAGATTTTTCAATAATGCCATTAATTTTTGCTATTTCGTAATTATCTCCCCTTTGAGGAGGGAGTGGCACTTCATTTGAACAAACTTGAATCCCCTTTACCCAAGGATACTTTGTGCCAAGTTTGATTGAAATTGGCCCAGTAGTTCTGGAGAAGAAGATGAAAATGTGAAAAGTTTACGAAAAAAAGACGCCGACGACGACAGACAACGGACAAATTTTGATCAAAAAAGCTCACTTGAGCCTTCGGCTCAGGTGAACTAAAAAAATCTGTTTTCATCCTTCTTATAAAATGGGTATTGATTCTAAGTGATGTCATACACAATGTCACAGGAAGGTCAAGTTGATGAAAATACGAATATTCTTAATTACAGCTGTAATTTTTCATCAGTTGTAAAACACTTTTTAATTAAAAAAAATACAGCAAGCATATGTTTTCAAAGGAAAATACAGTCAGAATTGAAAACATTTGGTAAAATATCTAAATTTGCTAACCTTTGTATAACTGTATGTTTTTAGTTTACATATACTCTGTAAAAACTGAATAGTACGTTGAATAAAGATAGAACTATTCATAGATGTACATTAGTCGATTGTAATTTTAGGCGTCGGCCCAAGATCTATTTGATTAGCCCTTCTTATTACATACAAGAACAATATCCGTATGATTTCAGGCCCCCTTTTGACTTCCTGATTGGTGCAATACTTCGCAATAAAAAAAGAAATATCTGTTATCTCATCATTCTTATAAAATGGGTATTGAATCTCAGTGATGACATACACAATCACTGCTTGATAAAAAAAAACACCTTTACAAAACTTTACTTGCAAAGTAAATCTCATTAAAGGCGCTCCGAAAAGCAAGGTTACCTTTGTATTATCTTTAGACAAATATAGTTCATGGAGTTTATGTCCCTTTTTCCATTATGAAGTCACTGCATATGGTACACAATTGATGTCCATCCTTGTTTAATAAACTTTTATTTTACTTACACTAATAAGTTTCACTTTTAATATTCAAACTGATTATGATATGAATATATACCAAGTTTAAGTTTGATAATTTATCAAAGTCGCCGATAAAACCTAAACTATTATTAACTATTGCATAAAGACAATAGAGTGTCTGAGGCCAAGAGGTGCACCACCACGACGTCATCACATGATTGTTATTAAAGGCAGAATATTCCTTAATAAAAAAAAAGGTTAACAGAACAACATATTCGCACGAAACCTTGCCTGATGTTTTGCATTATATACATATAACCCGAAATATTTCTTAAAATCATGTTTACCTCACGATTCTAGCAGCAGTTTCCAAGTATTATAGAACACAAGCTTTCGATATGTACAAATCTTATGTTTTGAAGTATCCAGCTTAGTGTTGTTCTTTTGCATTATTGTTGTCACGAATGACAGAGGAAAGTCCGACCGGTTTACGTAAATAGCTGACTGTCTTTTATAGAAGATATAATTGATGGAAATAAATAAGCATGCCTGATTAACAAACCTGAACTTCACATGAATCACACACAATATCTATAGTATTTGTTTCTAAATCCCATTTTACGTATCTTTTTACATGCCTTCTTAGCCAAAGTCTCGTTACACAGCATAGTCAATTCTCAAGTTATTTGTTGAACAGTTATGACGTCATCGGTCGTATATTTTAATTCAAGTGACAGATACAGCATAATAGAATAAAAACATTGAGGTTTTGTTAATATTTGCAAGTTTGTATTCATTTTCAGGAGTTAAATTAAAATAAATAAAATAATAAAATAAATAACAATATTAAGAACACTTGTGTTCTAAAATTGACGTCATCTCGCCTACTATGACGTCATATCGTATCACTGATTTAGTCAAGTCAGATTATCTGAGTGCTTCCTTAACACACCTGCGTGTAACAACGCAAAATGTAAAAATCCCAAAATCGTGTTATTATATTTTGCGTTATTACATTTTGCGTTGATGTGGACACGAAATGTAATAACGCAAAATGTAATAAACCTAAAAATTTTGTTGTGACATTTTGCGGTATAGCATTCTGCGTTGATCTCGATGTAAAATGTTATATCGCAAAATGCAATAATCCCGGCTTATTACATTTTGCGTTGCTATTACATTTCCCGTTGAAACAAGGCATTGTTTGGAATATTGGTTATCTTGTTGGAATATAGGGATTTAAATAATTTTTGTAATAAATTCAAACAAGTATCTATGGTACAACAATCAAATTATTTCCATCCAACTGAGTTTCCAGACTTTGTAAAAATTAGACTCTTGGTAGAAAATTACACGTATATAATCATATTATTGAACCATACTCTAAAAATAATTGAATGTGGTTCGTCGAAATGTATTTTTACGACCTTGAGAATCTCAACAATTGACTATGGACCAGAAAACAAAAAGCATAATTAAAGAAAAGAAATCTTGACTGTGTTCAAAATAATGTCTTGTGTTTGTTTGCTTAGTATTACAGCTTTATTGAATGTGCTAAGACACTTTTCTGATCCCCTGTTTGGATGTATCTTTTAAAGATGCAATACATATCAATAAAAAATCTGTTTTGATCCTTCTTATAAAATGGGTATTGATTCTGAGTGATATCATACACAATGTCATGGAGAGGTCAATTTGATAAAAATACGAATATTCTTAATTTTGTTCAATTTTTCATCAGTTTTAAAACACTTTTTATTCCACAAAAGATAGAGCAAACGCTTGCCTATCTACAAAATATATATTTTTCATGGAACAGTATTAAATATACCTTGCTTATCCAAAATTTCTCAAAGGCAAGCTTGTACTTTATGTTTTCAAAGGGAAAAAAATAAAATATAAATCACTCCATTCCATCAAAATTGAGGAAATTTGGTAAAAAATTTAACTTTGTCACCCTCTTGTGGCCCCCAGGAACGCTTTGAAACAAAATGAATGCTGCTTATAAAACAATCATCATTTATGGTCTTGATTGCAAACTACAGTGCCGGGAATTAATTTTGTTACATTATCAGCATCAGCATGAGCAACAAAAGCATCAGTATCAAATTAGCATCAGGATCAGCATTTACAAAACAGCA